CACAGTCTGGACACCTTGACTGTGAAGAAGTTTTTCCTAATATTGAGTCTGAATCAATCTTCCAGCAGTGTGTGGCCATTACTCTTGGTTTTCCCTTTGGGTGCCCTGGTGAACAGTTGCTCACTGAGCCCTTGACATACTCCACTAGTGTAGCGGTAAGCTGCTACCAGGTCCCCTCTCAGCCTTCTTTTCCTCAGGCTGAAGAGTGCCAGTCTTTCCTCGGATGGCTTGCCTTTTAAGACTCTGATCATATGGGTGGCTCTTCTTTAGACTCTCTCAAGCTTGTCCACATCCTTGTTAAAACGTGGTGCCCAAACTGGATGCAGTACTCCAGCTGCGGTCTCACCAGTCCTGAGCAGAGTGGAAGAATCACCTCCTTGGCTTTGCTGGAGGTTCATCGATTGATGCATGCCAGAGTATTATTTACCCTACTGGCTACAGCGTTGCACTGCCGGCTCATATTCAGACTGTGGTCTATTATTACTCCCAGGTCCCTTTCATTCGTGGTGCTAGTCAGTTTGGTGCCACCAAGCCTGTAGGCGTGTTGGGAGTTGCTCGTCCCGAGGTAGAGCACTTTACATTTCTCAACATTGAACTTCATCTGGTTCCAATGCGCCCAACTTGCCAGCCTCTCTAGGTCCGCCTGGATCTGTAGCCTATCTTCAAGCATGACCACGCTCCCCCATAACTTGGCATCGTCCACGAACTTGGCCAGGGAGCTCTTCACCCCCACATCCAAATCATTAATAAAGATGTTGAAAAGTACTGGATCGAGCACCAACCCCTGTGGGACACCACTGTCCACTTCTCGCCAGAATGACATAGGTCTGTTTGCTACGACTCTCTGAGTTCTATCCTGCAGCCAGTTTGTCACCCACCTGACTGTCTTGGAGTTCAGCCTACAATCCTCCAATTTTCTCACGAGGACATTGTGGGATACTAGATCGAAGGCCTTTTGGAAGTCAAGGTATACAATGTCAACCTGCTCTCTCGTGTCCAGGTGGTGAGTTACCTGGTCACAGAAGGAGATGAGGTTGGTAAGGCAAGACCTGCCAGCAACGAAGCCATGCTGGCTGTCATTCTTGTGTAGTCTTCTTTTTGAGGACAAGCATTATAAAGTCAGAAATGGAGCACAACCAACTAGACACAGAGACACCCATGGGCAGATGGAGTGGTATAAATCTACCAGTGATAGGTTGTTTAGGCTTTATCATTTTCTGTGCTATTTTCTCTGCCACCATAGACATTCCTAATGTTCCCCACCTTAAAGACAACAACCTGCTTTAAAACACCTACAAAACATAACTTGGGTATCGCATCCAACCACATTGCTAAACTCACCCACAACAATTATTTTCAACAACTGACATTTACTCCAAACTATGAAGGCAGCTAAGTGGACAAAAATAATCCCCCAATACATTCAGTCTTCAGTGAACTAGGTTGAAGAACTTTGATACAAAAATGACATCTTTATCTGGACTGAGCACCTAGCCTCTCTTATGGACTTCCACCATTATTTGAATAAGTACCATCCTTCCAACAACTTCTCTATGAAATACTTATGTCAGTATCAACTTTCTAGATATTATATTTAGCAAAAAATGGCACCATATAACCAGCTATAGACATAAACAATGATAGGCAATTACACTTCTTTCACAAAACCAGTAACCACCCCAGACTCATCATGAAGGTGGCAATCTATAGTCAAGCACACCTTCCCTTCCCCTCTGCCACATATTGGCTCGGTGATGTAGTAAGTATTTTGCTTACATTGCCTTTAGATAAAGACATACCACTGGGAAAATAGACTATGTCCACTCTGTGTAGACCTACAATACTAACAAGAAATCCCCCACTGACTGCATAGCCTTGATTTTCATATGCTATCCCCTCCTGGAACTGTGTAAAGAAAGACCTTTAGTGACAACTTATATTCATACCTCGTAAAAGTGTCCCCAGGGGACCTCCTGGATTTAAAGCAACCCTACAACTCAAACTCTTCTTCAGAAGCAAACTTTCCACTACCTCAACACCAAAGGGAATCAAGACTTGCTTAGACAAAGGCAAAGTGTGCCAACACATCTCCACTGCCACCATGATTGACAGTAATAAAGATCACCAGAATCCATGGATCCTAGACCGCACAGTTCACAGGTCTTGTCCTCAAAGAAAACTGCACAATACCTAGAGAATATGAACCTGGGCAGAGAAATTCAGGTTACTGAATGCTGGAAACCGCTTATTGGGAATCAACTGCTCATTACAAATTACCTTTCATCTGGAGGGGATTACTTCCCACTTCCCTTTCAAGTAGTCAGATTTATTAACAAATCTGTTAAACTAAAGTTTTTATTCTAATGGGTACTTCTTTTTTTTTTTTAACCAGATCTGTGCAAATTCTGGGCAACTGGGGCAAGAAGTAGAAGCTGGATGAGGAAGGAGCCAGGAGACCCCAGCAGTAGCACAATGTGGGGAGCAACACCCAGACTAGGAACTGAGATCAGACAGCTCTGGTTTAGACCATAATTCCTTCTTTTCAAGGCCTGATGAAGGGCACTTGATGTGCAAAATTACCTGATCAATCTCCCAACTATGCCAGTTGGTCCAAAGGAGATATTAACTCACCTAACAAATCTTGCTTCTCTTATCCCTGGACCACCAGTTACAATATTAAGAGACTGGAATGTCCTTGCCACTTTAATCTTCTGTAGAATCTGGTTATTAAAAAAAACCCCAAGGACTCTGTATTCATATACTTAGAACCTCCAACAGTGTACACTCAGGACCCTACTGTGCGCATGAAGTCAACCACCACGTATCTGACAGTACAAAAGGAAAGGATAACATTATTTTAAAACAGCAGAAATGTTATCTTTGGTGTCTAGTTTCAACTGAAGGCTATAGATGGTCTTTGAGGATGGTTTGTAAAATCTAGATTTAAAAGGAGAGCATATACTAACTATATACTGATATCCTTTTTCAAATATTACAGAAATTTAAATAGAAATTAACAAATCCACATCTCTTTCCCCCTTGCAGTTGGCTCAGCTTTCATGCAACTAGCCATTTTCCAGGAATTGAATTTCAGTTGAGAGAGTCGGAATGAAAGAGCACCTACCACTTTATTCTATTTAAAAACCTTTTCCAGGTCACTTCTATATACCAAAAAAAGAAAAGTGCACCGATCAGCTTCCATACACACTTCCCCCCATGGTAGATAGCCTTTTGTTTTCAAATCTACTCCTAGCTTCTCTCTAACTTTGAAAAGACAAAAAAAATTACCTATCTGCTCCTAACTGAGTCTTCATATCTACATTTTCAATTTTTATACTGAAGTACCTGCCACATGAAACAGGCCAAACAAGTACTTTTCGCAGTGTTCAGGAGCTGCCAGCACTTCTGAAATAAAAGCAAAACTTAACACTGTTGTACTCTGCATGTAAACAGGTGCTCATGTTGCTGCTGCAAATGGCTCACAAAGCATCATTCCTTAATGTTCCTGTAAACCTTTCAGAGAGTATCATTTGTAATGTCTCATGTATACCTTGTGACTTCTTTTGAGCTTTTGGAGAGCTGTTGTAAATAGGTATTGGAATTTCTCTAAAATGCAATGCATGCAGCCTTCAGGCTTTCCATATTTAAAAACCAGAAAAGAATTTTTTGGAAATATATAGAGAAGTATTAAATATTCACAGCTCAACATTTTAAAAGGCATTTATGCAGCTATGGCTTGCTACTCCCACCCTGGGGCCTGCGGGATAATCATCTGCAATACAATAACATAAGAGAGCCATTGCCAAGCTTAGACATACCAACTAGTTTACATTAGTTTGGATACTTTCGAGTGTATTCCAGGTTTGAGAGATGCAGCTGGCTTATTTTCTTCAGTGAGCAAAAACTAGAAAATCCAAGAGAAGTTGCATTTTGATGGTTTTTTAAGAGTATTTCTGGAATGTCAGCAGACTTTTAAGAGAAACAGACAACACCTTAGCCATCAGGGGATGAACATTCATGTAAACAGTCCCAAATTGTAATTCTAGTGAATACCTTAAATCCCTAATTCTCAACCAGGGTGCTGCAGCACTCCAGGGTGCCTTGGGATGCCTTTAAACATACCTCAGTGTGCCAAGTATTGATAGCACTGCTAGATCTACAAACATGCTTCACAAAGTAAATCCAAAGATTGCAAATAAGAATCTATAGTGTTAAAACCATTCTGACCTGTTGTGAGCTCTCTCAGTTCTTTGCAACAGAAAAGTTCTCTAGGATTTACTCTCAGTCAAAAATGAATGAAAACTAAGAGCTGGTATTTTCTGATGGGTGCTTTGGGTCTAGTATCACGGCATCACATGTTAGCCAGACATATTGTGCAAGTCTCACAACCTACTGAATTTGTGTATGTATTACTGCAACCAAATTCTGAGACAACAACATTTAGTTTAATATATATTTATTATCTTTCAATTGAACTGAACTGAAATCAATTCAATTTAATCTAAGTTGTACTGTTGGAACAACTATTAGAACAAGTCCAACTCTAAAAATGTTGGCTTTAGACATATAGTAACTTATAAATCTATAATACCAAGGCTTCTTTACTACAGAGACCCTTTTAGCACCATACCTGCTCCTATAGGAGATTTCTATTAAATTTGGACACAGTTCTTCAGAGAGGGACATGAGATTCTGAAACATACTGGAAAGGTATTAAAGCAAAGCAATTTGCAGTTGGTCTGAGCCAAATGTCAACCTGTTGATACAGGATACAATTCTGCCATTCATACTTGCATCAAGTAATAACCCTGAGTAGCCCCACTAAGGTCACATCACACTTGCACTTCCCAAATAATTTGCAGTGACAGCATACACCATTCAGTGAGGCTACTCAAAGTATAATTCTACTCAACCTGGGTAAGGGTGGCAGAATCTCAGCCTTAAAACACAGAAAACTGCTCTGGTAATGTGCACAAAAATGCATTGCAGAAACAATAAGATACTAGAAATCTTCTTTATTATTTTAAAAACAGTTTTATTCTGTATATTTAGAAAGGTGTAATTTTAATAACTGCAAAGAAAAAGAATCAGCCACACCTGAAAAGCTAATAACTGATTAACAGAATGCAGTGGTATATTATCTAAACAGTAGTAGTGCTGATGTGCCATAATAAACTGTCTATTAGTAAAAAAATACATTTCAGGGCACATAGTACAGCATCCTTATCACAAATTACAGTAGGGATACTTTAAGAATTTAACCAAAGTAGAGAATTCTGAGTTTTATTCTTTAAATGCAGCAATTAAAAAGGTAACAACTTTGTGCATTTAAAAAAAATGTCCTTGTTCATGTATTGTAGAAATGCTGCTTTATTGCTGCAGATGTCAAAGTTCAAGGCTCAAAAGGTATGAGAATACAAAGATATCCTTAAGAAACTGTTTTGTTTTTATATATATTTATATATATAAAAAGGTAAAGCTTATAAAAGTTAATTTACAAACCAAGAACAAAAGTGGTATGCACGCATTATATACAGGCATTCTATAACATCTAAATTTTTAAATGCATAGCAGAAAACATACCATCATTTTCTTCTGGTTTTCTTCTGCTTGCTCAACACAAACAGCACTTGTTCTCTAAACTGACAAGTTAACAAGTTTTCCCTTCCCTCAAGCCCCAATCTGTCTCATGATATATTATCTAGGTAAGCACGAAAGCCATACAAACTTAGTAATACAGAGAACTATGAGCACTAAAACTATTAAAAACATGAGGGTAAGGCATCCCTGCTGGTTAATATGTCTGTAATGTGGTTAATTTACAAATCCAGAGAGGCAACTGAACCATAGTCATCTCACATGCTTTCTCTCTTTCCCATGACAATGTTTTCATACACAGTAAGTAGACGTGCTTGCATTACCCTCTTAGTAGAGGAAAACATCTAAGTTGTGCTAGCCAAAGTTTATCGCCACATTATTTGACATGTACACCAAAGAGTCATTTAAAAACCTTGATACCAGGATATAGTCTTGTGTACTTTAAAACAAACAAAAGTAAAAAGACAGGCCAAATTATGTATTTCCACCAGTGGACTATGAACTAAATTCAATTCCTCTTAATATACCCCATTGGTACTTTAAACTTTTTCAACAACGAAACATTAGCAGTGTCCTTTAAAAACAAAACCCCCAACATACAGAAACCCACACGCACCCCACATTATTCCTACTGTACACTCCCTGTTTGTGACACGTATTCTGACCATGGTTCATGTACTTGCTAAACCATTGTTAATTAGAGCAAGATGCTTAAACAAGAAGTTCCATTATCGCTTATAGAACAGTTAATACTTGATAGTGGTTCAGTTTATATGTAAGGTCCATTTCAGTTTCACATTATGTACTCAGCTAATTTAGGGATTAGAAGTGGTCAATTAGGACTGAGACACAGTTTGCTCCAACAAGATAGTTTGGATCCCCAGGAAGAGACTTGTTCTGCCAGGTTTTGGGGTCACCTGTGGGAGGAAAACACAATGTTGGTGTTTAGTATCCAGTATCAAACAGTATACATCTTGAAATAGGCATGTGTTGTTTTTTTTCCCCCTCTCTTGATAGTAACTTTTAGTTCAGAATCAACGTGTTTTACAATAAGAGCCTAGTTAGTATTTTATTCATGTAACTCCTGAGAGTTCAAGGATGGTATGACATTGTAACATAATATATTACTCATTATTGGGTTTATTCAAAAATAGATTTGGTGGCACTCCAAAATCATTGTATATGCAGATTTATTCTGAAATAAACCAACATAGCACTTCCCCTTCAAATCATCCAAACTCTCCTCTAAATCATAAGCACTGACTAAGACTTCTATATTAAAAGCCCCAAAATAGAACATCTTAACTGGCTGTCAAGAACAATACGGTCATAAGCTCAGGATCAGTTGTTCTTACCAGTCACTATGAAGTGGCGGAAATTTTGTTTTATACTACGAGAATTACCCGAGAAAGGACCTAGAACACCAACTTTGCCTCTGAACAGAGTATACCACTAGTGCAATAAAAATGACTGAAAACCACTAATCTTAGAAAAATGTTGTGCTGGTATTTTAACAAGAAATCTGCTTTCAGTAAAGTTTAACATTGATTTCTTGTTCATCTGTGGTCACTTGAGGCATTATCCAAGTTACCCTTTGGCCAGACCTCAGAGGTTATTTTAGTCTGCATATATAATTGTCCCCTGTAGTTTTATTTGAAGACATTTTCTTTACTTGCTGACCTAATAATCCATTGTATAATGCTGTATAAAAGCAGTGTCCTCATTCTACCACATCAGAAGTAGATTAGCAAGAAAAATACATCAAAGCTTTTTAAAGTTCACAAAATAAATGGCACTACATTGTTTCACTACAGTGGGCCAAAACTAGATCTGCCTTAAGACCTGTACAACAGACTAGGCCAACTCAACTACATACAAGTTTCAAAAGTCTGGAACTGTTACAGGAGATACATGTACATTTCACATACTCTTCTGGAGAAAAACTCATGGAAACAAAAATATGAAGTACACAATGTGCTGAAGTGATGACAACATCTGATGTGGAGACTTAAGAAAAACCAGAAATGACTCAAGAGCTATCTTGGTCTGGTCAGAAAATTTAAAACCAAACACTACTGCACTCAGCAAAGGCTAGTCATTTTAAACTGGAGGATTGTCAAGCCTGTAAATACTTCAATTTTTCTCAATTTGAAGATAGATGTCTTAGGAAATACCAGAGTATATTAATGCAGGGTTAAATTAGATTGTAATAAGAGCAGCTTGTACTCTCATTAGTGAAGTATTCTAAATCAGGAGATTTTTCTTCTTTCAATATGTGCCAAAAATTTGATTCTAATGAATGCAACCTATGGCTGTTACTCCCCAAGATGAAAATAAGATTAGTTTCCTGCAATTTTTCACTCACTTGAGTCTTTTGCACAACTAATAAGTGCAACAAGTATGAAATCAAAGTCAACGTAATGTACTGCTGCATCCAGCTAAAGATGCAACGTTAAGTTCTCTATACTCAGTGTCAAAAGGAGAATTAAGAGTCTGAAATCACTGTACCTGACTTAAGTGTAGCATAAAACAGGTTAGTATGAGCAAGTCAAGTCCAATTTATGAACAGAGCATAAAAACAATTTAGAATAAGCTGAGATAGAACAAAAGATTTAATAGAAAAAGTAACAAAATGCTGGAAACCATTACTAAAGGCATCTGAAAAATCAGAGTCCCATAACCAGCTAATGTAAAAAGAGAGAAAATAATAATTTATTTAAGACACAGTATGGTCTACTTACATATCAGAAGACAGAATTGCCTACTTTTGAAATTGTCATAGAGCAAGATTATGATACACATCCCATTTCAGTTAAACAGAATAAAATGTAGCCTTATAAAGCCAATACACACAGTGTTAGTACTTCTACATGTTCTCACACACACTTAACACAAGACAACAGATCTGTCTCAGATATTTAAGTTACTATTTGAGAAGACTAAGAGTTGTGTCTTCATTTCAAGTAAATTCATGAACAGGTTTTTCAATTACAAAATTAATTTTTTTTAAAGTTATGTAGCTGTCATGTATTTTTGAGTCTTTAAACCTAAGTGTCAATATTTTAACACTTCCAATTATGTACACACAAAGTATATCCATGCAGTACGTGCAATAATAGATTAAAACCCCAAAATTATTGCCATTAATCTGTCTGAATCACTGGATTCCCTTCATGGAGACTGATATGCTAATCTTTCAAGTGTCAGCACACTGGTATTGACAGATAGATACATTAGTGACAAGAGGTGAATACAACATTTAAAGACAAAATGTATTCTTAAGTACATTTTCAAGTATTTTTTAGATTATATGTATTATATGTATGTGTATGGATTAATGGTATAAGTATTTCTACTATAACGTTAGAAAGTAGCTGAATAAAACCTGAAGACTTTCAAATGCACAGACATTGATTTTGAGGTCTCCTTAAATTCACAGCCATTTCATGAAATTGCTTGAAACTTACATAAAATAGAAATTAGGCTAACAGTCATTGTGTAAAATCTCAACCAACACTGTTTCCCCTGTTCCATGTAAGAGGATGGAAGTAGAAGACAGTGCAGAGATAAAAACAGGCTTAAAGTTGTAACCAGGTTGCAACATTAACTAAGAAATAACAACCACCTCTATTCTGGGACGAAAGGTGGAAACAAGTAAGAGACTTGCGGAAAATCCAGCTACATTAGAGGTGAACTGTAAATATTCTACAGAAACACTGGTTCCCTTAAACTGTCATCAACTTGCAAACAGGGAAACAGCTAACAGGTGTTAAAAACAGTGATTTGGCATGCAGATTAAACTTATGATTTGCCAAAGTATTATATGGTTAATTAAGCAAAAAACAACATTAGTTTATGGTACATAGGCCAATTAGGGTTACATACTCATTCCCCCCAATTTTAGTGCAAATATCATTTCAAAGTGTTTGCAGCTGTAACAGTCCTCAAGAAGGAAGACACACAGAAATAGTGGTAACACTGAATGGAGCAATGGTAAGGTAAAAAAGACATTACTGTATTTCTCTGCTGTCAATCATGATTTTAACTATGAATCTGTATCATGAATAAACGCGAGAAGAAACATTTGTAATGAAAGTGAAATGGAGAGTTTGACACAAATACAATGATCGAGTTATACATTACACAGCATCACCTTTAGCCAAGTGACCTTAAATTATACGATAGCACCCAAAAGCCCCAAAAGGACAGAGGGAGGACAGCATACCCGACGAGGAGTCGGAGGATTTTAGAGCAAAAGACCAACCATCAGGGGTCATTGACGCACAATGTGGTAAGCGCAGCTCCACTGGCTTCAGGAATTTTAGTCCATGAGGCCCACACATAACCAAGGGGCTGAGCAGCGTTTCACCTACAGTTAAAAAAAACAAAAATGTTTGTTAAAAGAAATCCATACTTCTTGAATACATTCAATTTTACTTCAAAAAATATTTTCTTTTGTTTGGTATGCCATATGACTACTTCATAAATGCCTCTGAATAATTTGTATGAACCTTGTCCAAACAACAGCTTCTACTAATGATACTGTGGGCAATGATGAGAACTGAGGGAAAAGGAACTTGCAATAGTGAATGAAGCACTCCAGATGTGCTTGTTGTATGTGGCAGATGGGTCACAAAATTGCGCAAGAGTCTAGGACACTACTGTTGAGTCAGAAGACACAATAGAAGGATCTGTCAGCTTATCTTTGCATTTAACCACTGAAGAAAGTAATGAGATCATGCTCCCCAAATTAACCCTAGATTTAGGTTATAAATCTGAGATTGCTTTAAATCATATTTTGTACAAAGTACCAGTAGTGCTTAAATGGCAGCACTCCTGAAGCAGAATCCCTTTATAGAAAAAACTTTCCCTTGACTTGTTGAGGTGAGGGCAGTATGTACAGTCTGACTAAATGACTACAGGTTTCCATTTGTCTACATTCTGAAATGACTTTTGATTAAATAAACTGATTACTATAAGGCCCTCTACTAGTTGCATGTATTATGCAATTTCCTGGTTAACTGTTAAGCAGACCGATCTGGGGCTGCCCCTCCAGTGGCAAAAAGGCGTGATGGATCTGATGCATGATCCCATAATCGCACTTCCTTCTATGCATGTGTGGGATAGCAGGAGGCACACTAGATCCCATCATGCCTTTACCTGCACACGTAGAGGGGCTCTGAAAGCATTCCTGGGCTAAGAACTGTACTTTGTCATTTTAATATGCTATGCAAAGCATTCTAGGAAACAGCAACTATCATTCAGTGACAGTCTCATGTGCTTGTCTGGAAAGCAAGACAAAAAAAGAAGTCTCACTTGTTTGACTTTGAACCCAGTATCATAATGAAAGGGTATCAAATTAATTTGACCCTGTGGGCCAGTCTGGCATGGACACTACATGTAGCATGCACACTGGCTCCAGTCCAGTGTTGCACGGGGCGCCAGCCCAGGACACTTGCTGCATGCAGCACCTGCACCAGAGCAGTCCTGTCCACATGGCTGATCTGCGGACCTAATCTGGACTAGACGATCTAGCAAGCACAGCCAGACAGGGATGAATGCTGCATGTGGCACCCGCACCAGATTGGTAGGCCTGTACAAGGCAGCTAGTATTTACTTCGGATTCAGCCAATTCAAGGGACAGCGATTCGATTCGGTGATTCGAATCACTGTCCCGATTCTATTTGACTGAATTCAAAGATTCGGATGCTGCCGAATCTCCAAATCCCCAAATCAGCCAGGCTCATTCCCCACCCCTCTCCCAGCCTGGCAATAGCTGCCCCAGCTCCCAGAACTTGTTTTAAAAAAAAAAAAAAAAGTCCTGGCTCACCGTTCCTGCCGGTGGGGGGTGATCCCTGCTGCCCCGCACCACGTGGGGGGTTCTGCACTAGCCCCCGAAGCCCCAAGGCTGTTGCAGTAGCAGTGAGTCTGGGGGTTTTCTTGGTTTGTTTGTTTTTTCTTAAAGGGCCAGCGCTGGCGAGCAGTGGGTACAGTGACAGGGGCCACTGGATGAGCGGGCAAGCACCAGACCAAAGGCTCCCAAACAAGTGGTGCGCAGCAGTGATAGCCATCCAGCTCTGTCCTACACCCTCCCTGCCCCGGCTGGGCAGCACTTGCCCCAGCCCCACTCCTCCCTCACTGCAGGGGCTTTGATCTGCCCTCCCCTTCCACCACATCAGACTTTCCAGCTGCACACTGCTCTCCAAGCTGCTGGGCTGTGCTCCTCGCTGCCTGCATGCTGTGCTGCACATTTCTTGGCCAAATTAATCGGCCACATCAGGCCAATTTCCGATACAATCAATTTTCTTTATATCAGTACTGATCCGATATTGGACCAATGTATCGGTGCACCTCTAGTCAAAAGAGAAGCCCTGAACTATTGTCCCACCTGAAAGAGTTTGAACAGAACCATTTTTTCCATGTATTCCTCACTTGTGAACATTGTGGACCCAGTATGTCTTATCCTGCGTTTTGCAGTCAGCACATAACTAATAGATGCTCTATTAAGACAAAGCCAACTCTTACCTTTCTCTTTGTCTAATGGTGGGAGGATGCTATTGTCTCTGCAGACCTTGAAATAGATTTCTTGTTCTATTCCTTCTGGGATGGCTCCTTGTGGTATTATTATACTAACTCCAGTTTCTATGGAGCTTAATACACCACCATTGCTGTTAAACACACCTCTTGCTGTTGCTACAACAGTGTGTCCATCCTCCTCCTCATCATCCTCCAAAGCTGAAGGGCTAAATATGAAAGATACAGATTAAGCTTGGCTTTTTTGTATGCTACTACCTTCCTCCATCAAATCAGTAGCACAATCTACTGGATTAATTTACCAATGGACAGACCTTTAGTCCTGTTTTAAGAAAGTTAAGCGATCAGATCAAATGTGTGGGGTATCTAAGCAGCCACAGATAGTAACATAATTTTCGTTTAAGCTTCAAGAGAAAGAATATCCTTGCTGAAAAGCAAGGGAAAAAATTAAACTTTGAAAATGACCCAGGCACCAGTTAATTCAAGATCTTTGATCACTCAGAACTAGTTGGGTTTTTAAAAACTCACTTTTTGAGATTGTGCTGAAACAGTCTTCCCAGATCCACAGCACTGCCTAATTGGACTAAACTGTAATAGTATTCTGAAGAATCCCAGTAACTCCTAGCTCCTTTTTCTGGAGAGGGGTTGCTCAGAGTAAGATGTATGTTAAAACTTAAAAAAGACTTAAGTCAAGAATAAGAACCACACCCGAACAAGCTTCAACATGAGAGACTGAATGTAGAGAGACAGAAGAGGAAAAGGGTGTCTCTCTTGCACATCTTCCCAAAAGCCATTTGTCCACTAATTCTCAAAGATTAACTTCTGTAATTGCTGTATTGTCAAGTGTCTTCATTTATAGGTTAGAGTCTGGTCAGACTAACAGCAACAAACCACAGAATAGAAGCACAGCAAAAAGACATTGTGATTTTTCAAGCAACTTCTTAAACTAAAAGTGTACAAATGAAAAATCATACCTTACAGGAATGGCTTTAGGCACAGCATTAACATTATTTGGTTGATATTTAGGCTTGTCTGCCTGTATAGAGAATGTATCCATTCCACTGTCAAACTCAGAAGGCTGCAACGAGCCGTGTGCTTTTAAAATTGGTTGAGGAGAATTTGGAGACTTTGATGGCAATTCTGGTTTATGTTGAGTTTCATTTGGCAGAAGATTGTGGTTGAATTTAGGGCTTTCAAACTTGCGTTCAAATGGCCTGGCAGCACTTGTGTATGGTTTTGTTGTAAAGCGATTGTAAGCAGGAGTGACTGGTTTTTGAGTCTGCTCACTTCCATTAAGTGGACCCTTGTCAGGGAAGCTTTTCTGAGGATAGAAAGTAGACTGCACAGTGTCTTCTCTGTTGGAAGATCTCAAAATTGCTGGTTTATTCTGAGGTGGAGGAGGGTCAGGTTTAGACACTGTAGAATTCTGGAAATCTACTGACACAGAGTTAACTGTAATGCAAACAATTGAAGAAACAGTCATAAATGGAAAATCCATAACATATAAGCCTTAATATTCAATTACAGAACCCAGTGACACATTATAACAAACTCACACTTTTAATAATCCCAAGAGAAGGATCAGTTTTTTCCCATTATCCTGATGTAGCAAATTCACAAACCATATTAGGAGAAACATTATTTTAATGGATTTTTCTCCCAGTCCCAGATGGCTCAATATAGTAAGTTATAATTGCATTGTCAAGATTTTGTTATTCTCAGTGTCAAAATTAAGGATTAAAGAACTGTTCTAAAATTAAGCTAATGTTTAAAAGAAGTATTAATTATGTATTCTAGGAAAAGGAGGCCAACTGCCCCATTCTTAGTTTTTCACAACTAAGGCAACTTTTGGTCCTCTATATAAACACAAGTTATATTAAGGTACATATACTTGTCTGATTTGTACTATACAAATTTCACACATTTTGTATGAACTGGAGTAGATGAAGCAGCTTGCATCAAGCAAAAACTAAACTGCAATATGATCACAAATGTGCTACAAACAGCTGGAAAAAAGGACATTATGACTTAAGGCTGCCTAAACTAAAGCTGAAAATGATCTTTTTGAACACTTGCTGGGGGGGACTACTCACGCTCAAAGTCAGGTTGGGGTGAAGTTGGGAGAAAAAAAACAAAACTGATAAACTGTATGCTTACTGTTGAGGCTATTAAAATCACATAGTCAAAGCTAGCTTTGGCCACTTGATTAAGTAACTATTTAAAGCTACCAGATGACTTCCCAGTCTACATATTATGAAAAACTTTTGTAAATAATTTTGGTTCAGATGTCAACCAGTCAGAGAAGAATGGCTCCATGTCTGTTTAGCGCTTAAGTATCTACCTTGGTACTTGACATACAAGTTGTTTTTATTTTTAAGTGCTAAGAGAGCTCAAAAATTCCTCCATAATTAAGAAATTTGCATCTTTAAATAACAAAGTCCTGGGAAGTTACAACTACATTGCTTTTTTTTTGTTTTGTTTTGTTGTTGTTTTGTTTTTTGCTTAACTGAAGTAGAAAGTATAGCAATAACAAAAAAATTCATGTATAAAATGGCTCAATTTAGGAAGTCGTACAGTAACAGAATTCTGTGCCAGGGAGTTAGTTAAACAGAGTTACTGACATTAACTTCATGCAGATTACATGTGTCAATTTTCAGATTTCATACCCTCAGAAAGTGCAGGCTTGTGATGTGCCTGAAGAGAGAGCGCAGGGTTATTAATTGACTGTGGTTGTGTATATTGTACTGGAGGTGGGGGAGGAACAGCAGAAGTAACTTGAGGAACTGGCTCATAGCGCTTTTCACCAACAGGCCTATCCATCGGTTCAGTATCAGTAGGTTTCCCCCTGTTTGAAAAGAAAAGAAAAATAATTTTCTAATCATCCTGTTTCAAAGTTTTCAGTTTATGCATTTACCACTAATTTTCTTCCTATGACCATCTGATTTGCATCTCTTCCTATAAACATTAAACATTTTCTTTAACATCCAATCCTAAATACAAAAACATTCATTATAAGCACAAGAGATTTCAAAACAACATTGGATCTTTAAAAGGATTAGTAACAAAAACCAAAAAATGGCAAACAAAATGCAGATGACATTTTAGGTGTATTTTTTGTAATATTTACCTATAAATCTTTCATTTTTAAATTTAGTTTTGGGGGATTTTCAATTAAGGAACTGAACTATAAATAAGGTATTCGTAGAACAATTTTAAATTGAATTAGGATATTTTGAAGAAGGCATAACTGGGTGTGGAATTATAAGATTGATTGTAACTGAAATTTTCTAAATACACCCGATATTTCAACAATGCCATCTTAATTAGAAAAGCAATTAGCTTAAGCTTCACTAGCTTTATGTGCGTACGGTAGACACTTTAAATTTTTAAATTTCTAATATTTCCATATATTTTAGGTATTTTTCCCAAAAGTCAATGTTTCAGGAAATAGCCAATTTCACAAATACCTATAATTGTTTTTGACTGTAATACCTTAAAAACTTATTTTCAGAATCAGTGTTTAAATTTCGGTGCACATAATGCCTGTGATAAATATGTAACAGTGAGAGGACACCTTAAAACATCCTCATATCAATAGCAGTCTTACCACTTGATGTTCCTTTTCAAGTAGTCATAGCTAGTGTAAGAGCCAAGAAATCTAGGTGATGGCAAAGCAAACAGCAATAGAAGAATGAAAGAAAGATGGTCATTCTATCTTAAGCATATTATTACTTAATTCAAACATTATGTTAGTGCTAGAACTGTTTATATGACAAGACAATGTACAAAAAAAGAGAGACAACATTAACTTAGTCAAGCTTACCCCTCTAATGCATGCATTCATGTATGTGTAAACATAGTGATCATATACTATGCTTTGAGATATTTTGTCAGTGAACCACAGGCAAGAAAACCCTCAAAGCATTACTCATCTATAGTTTCTAGAAGTAATGTTAAGTGTGTACTAATATTAAAGTCTGAATACCCATGTATCTGTTACAACACATTGAGAGAACAAAGCATTTATATTCTACTTCACTCTGAAAAAAATGTTTTTTACTAAGTCATGCTCATTCCATTCCTGGGCCATTTACTGTGTATATGGTATTGCTCATACTGCACTTCAGTTGGCCAGATGAGAATGTTTATATAAATGAAGAGTTCAGTGTTAAATTACCAACCCAATCAGAGTCCATGCCTTAAATGTTTCTAATCAACTTTAAAAATTCTTGTAGTTACACCTTCAAATAAACTATTTTATTTCTGCCTATTAGAAACAAGTGTAAATGCAGAAGTGTAATGTGGAAACACAAAAGAAAAGAAACTCTTTCAGAAATGGCATCTTATACTGTAGCAAGAAAATAGGTTTTCTAGCAGTACACATAGTCCCCCCCCCACCCTCCTTCCTATATGCCAATGAAAACTGAGCAGATAACATGCTTTAGTTGTAGCGACAAACCATTACCACAACCTTCTGTGTTTGCAGGTCATGCAGCTATAGATACACACACATACACAGTATTTCATTTATTTATTTATTTATTTACTTACTTATTTAAATTCTGCAGTTCATGGTTTGTGTTGTGTAAGTGCTATTGATTCTTTTTCCTTCTAGGAGATTAGAAAAAAATCAAACTGCTTCTAAATTCATTTTAAAAAGAAATATGAGCCTATAAGACAACCAGGTCTCCCTAGTTGCTTCCTATTTGTCATCCAGCTATGAATAGGTTAACCAAAATATTTTAGTTGTTCTAGAAGTTTAATATTTTTATCATTAAGATAAAGGAATAGATTCATAAAATAAAACTGAAGTTTAATTGCTAACTATTCTTTTACTTAAGCTTCAAGAAAGTTTTTTCCTAACAATTTTCTAAAATACCATTTTAATATTCAATTCCTTTTTTCTTTCAAAGCTATGCAAATCAGTTTTGAACATGAAAAATCTTTATATGCCAATGGAGCCTGTGTAACTTCTCATTTATTGTGGGCTTATTTTTAGTCACTATTTTTAAGGCTATGTATTTGATATTTGGTTATATGTATTCTGTTTATAGGACTAGAGTCTGATACAGTGGCATTTACTTAACTTTTAGAAAGGGAGTGCACTGATGACTTGCAACAAGTTTAGACTTTTTTTAAAATTGAACATGCATCTGAAAACAGTACCTCTTAAAGAGAGTATTACACAAAATGTATGTGCGTATGCTATTCTCATTTCCACTTATAGTAGCTTCTGGAGGCTCCAAGCAGAAATCTGGACCCTCAAAGTGCTAGGCACTGTAAAAAGTGATTTGCCCACTGATGACTAACAAACCAGAATTAGTAATAAACATGCCAGAGAACAAACAGTAACCAATTGCAAAGGTACCGGCAAGAAGCTGCAACGTAACTGGATAAATAGAGCAATACACGAGTAATGAAAAAGCAAAAAGAACAGTTTTAACTGAAAGGATGGCATTTTCTGAATTTTCTGCAGCACTACTCAGGTTAGAGCAGTAGGCAGTCTGGATATACTGGATCTCTAGGTTCTGCCTCAACTCAAAAGAGCTGTCTCTTCTCATTCTCAGGAGGTAGCCAGAAGTAAGAGCAGAGTACACTAACAGCCCTGCTCCCTTCAGAAGGATGCTATGAAACATTACTGGGATGACTAATTATAATCATAACTAATAAATCAAGAGCTGTTTGACTGTGAGGGTGGATATGCCTTACCATCAAAAATTCACATTTTAGTAGGTCCTTAAAATATCAGTACTGCAAAAGGGCACTTTGTCTTTTTAGTGTGAACTTCTACTCATGCTTATTTTATACAATAAATGTCACTAGCCATGAACAGCACTCACCCAACAGCACTCTAGTTACCACTAAAAAAAAAAAAAACATTTTTGCCCTCCTTACTCCTCTTGAATAATTCCTTCTGCAGCAAGCTGTCCCCCTGAAATCACTACTTCCAGAGTGTGCTAATGACAACCAGGAGAAAGGGAGCCAGAAGTTTGTGAGAAGGAACAAAAAGGAAGGGCATGGGCTGGCAGGCCACTTAATGAGTTTTGGTGACCTGTTGAGGGCCACAACTCCCTCCTTTCCGCTCCCTGTCCCTCCCTCCTGGGGCTGCAACCAGGCAGAAGCCTGAACCAGCCTGCACCTTTAGCATGCCCCTCCAGCCAGAGTCCACCTGCTTGCAGCTTTAGCATGCCCCACCCCTTTAACCCCTCCATGTTTGAACCAGGCAGCTGCCAGCTGCACCCACAGCTGCCCACAGAGCCTCCAGGATGGCGCTCTAGGCATGGAGGCGGCACGGGGTATGCTACAGCTGTGGGCTGTGACCAGCACAGAAACAGCAGGTGGGTTCAAGCTTCTGCTTCCATACTGGTGACAGCCCCAGCCCAGTGAGAGAGTGAGCACACCTGGTACACTGGAAACAGCCCTGGCCGTCTGGCACCACACAGCTGCCTTAGCCACTGCCTACCCACAGGCCAGATCCATCCACTTGGCAGGTGGCCACTTGCAGGCTGAATCCAATCAGTTGGTGGGCTGTATTTTGCGCACCCCCTAGACCAGAAGCTGAGCTAAGGAAAGGCCATAGCACACCTCTGTTGGCCTCTGGGAGTGTGGCCATACTGGACATCACCCACAAATGGTCATAAGTAGGGTAGGGCTCATTCTCCAATCTCATATAGCTGCATAAGGACCAACTCTAATCTGAACTACACTCACTGGCACTTAGACAATCACTAGGCACAAAAGCACTGCTCTCCACAAAATAATACTTGCTTGCATCACTTTTCCTACTTGGCTGTACAAAAATATTTATGCCCTCTTACACAGATGTCAATAGACACATGAAGTACCCTACAGGTAAGGATTGACTGCCCCCTGACTCACTCCATTTTTACACTAATTATAACATAAGCATTATCATGCTCAGAGACAGTAAACCTACTGAAAAATAAACAGTCAAAATGGTACTGACAGATGTTTTTGCCTCATCTACACCAGGGCTCATAACAGGTCCCTTAAATGACATACTTCTCAAGTTCTCTTTGGTTGAATATTGGACAGAACTGAAACAGATTAGTCACACGAACATACATAACTTGTGCGTTTACCATGACTGATCTATGGAACTTGTTCAAAGAGGCAAAACCAATTTTTAAAACTGAAGAATTGGTGGCAATTCTATATCCCCCCCAAATTGTAAGCACAGCTAGTTTTATATTACGATGCAGAATATTATTCACCAACATTATTTTTATGTTCACACTAAGGTGTGCACCCTATAATTTGCCCAGAGGCTGATAACTGGTGCAGATGACCTGGTGCTGAACACAGAAGAAGTGAAGATTGTGTTCAGCACTTACCAACATGGTCTAGAACTAGTGATGAAGCTGACTGGAAGTGTTTCATAAAGAACACTGCAGCAGAGTTTGGGCCAACACCAATTAACATTACCGCTTCACTACAAAAGAAACAGAATAATTATATAAAAATAACTTGGAAAAAAAAAAGTGAAGAGCAACATTAGTCTGAATAAAACATTACCTACAAGCATACAACCTAACCCTTAACAGTGCAAAATCACCAGTGTTTTTTAAGTGACCTTTAGATGAAAGGCCCCACTGCATGAGGAGTTTGGTCTAATGCCTATAATTAAGAATACACTCATAAAAGCAGAGCTACAAAGAAAAGGAGAAAAAGAGATCAAAAAAACTATTCATGTACTACAGTTGTTGACAACTAAAGGACACAGATGTGACATGACCCTTACAAAGCAGTTTCAGTGGTGGCACAGATTTCCTAAAATGGACTTTTTGGAGTCATTCCTACATGAGGAAAGCCCGATTGGTGAACATAAACATGGTGAATAAAAACATTTGTACACACACAAACAAACAAACAAACAAAGTCACATTCACATTCCTCAATGCTGAACCTATGAAATTCTTTCAAATGTGAAATTACAACTCCACAGTTCTTGTAAGAAACATCAAACCATCCAGACAGCTAAACAGATTACATTATATACACTGTCTATTTTTACTACTAATTTTATTAGAAAAAGTAGTAATTTCCAGCAAGGGTATATCCTCTTACTGCTGGAACGTAATTGTGTACAAAACATCAATCCTACTAATTTTGCATATAGGGAACAAAAAATTTGTCAGCCAATAGATGAAAAACTTCAAGTACATGGTATACTGTACACTTACTTAAAGCCTCTGAATTTGCACTATGTGCAAACTAAGCAAGCTTGCAGGTCACAGGCATGCTGCAAGGTAGGTGAATAAGTTTAAAAAAAGGTACAATTAGTTATGATAAGAACAAATGCATCTCAGGGGCCGGGTGAGACACCAGAAGAATCTTCCACTAAAAACAAAAGACATCAGTAGCAATGTTTATTGATATGAATTTTCAAAAGTATTTGATTTTGGCTAGTCATAAAGACCAGCACTGAATTTGATCCCAAACCTTGTTACTTTCTTATAAAATAATGTTAAACATCATGACTCTACACGGACTTATGCATGTTTAATTTTCTGCATTTCAAATAGTTCTATTAACTTCCTGAGAGCTACTCACAATGTGCAAAGTTAAGCACAGGTCTCTTTCCAGGATCACAGCTTCTGTGGTTATTCAAACAAGTTGCAAGGATATTGAATATAG